AATCCACCCAACAACATCTTTCAAACACCAAACCAAATTTTTCACACACCACAACCTTCTAGAGGGGCCACCCACCAAGCAGGCCAACGTTTTTTAGATGCTCAGATCATAAGACGCCGAGAAGAACGGCGTGATGAGAATGCGCGAGAAATCATTCGTGCTGCCCAGCGTGGGTGGCGTTAGTACCACACCACGCCGTTTTTGCACCCCATCACGTGGGGGATTTTGTGTGAAGGGGGGTATTATGCAGCATCTTCACCAGCATCTTTTTTCCAGCAGCAGCCCCCCCACACAACTTCTCCCAGCACCGCCAATAATAATCATACCTCCACAACACCAACAAAAAATAATTATGCCTGCCAGCCAACCAGGGGGGGGGCCACCTCCCCGCCGCCGCCGCGGTGCGAGGGGAGCGCTGCGACGATTCGTCCGGCCCAACTAGTATGAGCCGCCACCCCGCTCGCATCCATCACCGCAAACAGTACCCGCTGGCGCAGGGGTGTGTGTGTGTGTGTGTGTGTGTGTGTGTGTGTGTGTGTGTGTGTGTGCGCGTGTGTGTGTACGTAAGAGGAGTGAAAGGCAAACAACACCACACAAACACACAAGCACCCACACAACCATACCACAGGCACCCACACGATCACCCCCCCCCCACACACACACACACACACAAAGCGAAGGCAAGCAGGGCCACGTGCGTACCTCGTCATCGAACATCTCTGGTGCCATATCCGTAAGTGGCAGCACAGCAGCGGCAGGACCGTCGTCCTCATCGCTTCCACGCATGTCCACGATGAACGCCGATAGCGTGGGTGTGGATGCACACAGCGCCGTGACGCCCGCGGCGATGGCAGACATCTGGCGACCACAATGACGGTGGTGGTGGTGATAATGATGTGTGAAATGCACTGTATGCGCAGCACTACCACAGCAGCAAGTCACCAGCATCTCCGCACACACAAACAAACAAACAAGCAAACAAACAAGCCCGCACCTGCTCCTCCGTGAGGGAGTCTGCGATGGGCTGGAGTGCAAGCTGTGTGAGCGGGGTGTCCGTCGGCACAAGGGCGGGAAAGGCAAACCAGTAGTAGAACTTGTACTTCTTGAGGTCAGAGAACGTGAGCAGCACAAAGCGGTGCAGCTGGCTGTTGTCGCTCAGCACGTCTCCGCTCGTGATTGCACGCGCAATCTGACCAAGGGAAGAGGAGCGGGAGGAGGAGAACAATGCGAGTTGGGAGTGGGTTTGAGAGGGTTGGTGCGGTTGGTGAGGCGTGAGTGGCAGGGGATGTGCACCTAACATGAAACCACCATCACACACAAGCATACACACACGCACACACACAAGCATACACACACGCACACACGCACGCACACACGCACGCACGTACACACACAAGAGCGTGTGTACTGCTCTGACCTCTCCAGCGCATGTCTGGGTCATGGCGGCAATGTCGGCTTTCTTGAACTCATCGAGCGTGTTCGTGTTGAACAAATCGCCACTGCACAGCAGTCACGGCAGTCACGGCAGTCACAGTTGAGGCATGACAGCGTGGCAAGGGGGTGGCAGTGTGTTCGGGTGAGGACAAAGTGAAACGCAAACATGCGGAAATGGAGGCTGTGCGTCGAAACGTAAACGAAGCAAATTGGCGCACGCACACACACACACACACACACACACACACACACACACACACACACACACACACACACACACACACACACACGTTCTGACGGCCAGAAAAAACACATCTCACTGGCTCAACGCACCGCATCAAGTAGACCTGGCCCACGCGCGCCGCAGCGGGGTCCCTGAAGTTGGTGGAAGATGAATGATGTTGCCGAGTGTGAGCACAATAGTAGACGTGAAAACAAACTCGTCAAGGAGCCACGCAATATACAGCAGCTCACAGCAGCCCATTGCAGCCCATTTTCAGAGTCTTCTTGATGACAGGGAGACTGCGTCGACCCAAATGTGCATGACAACACACCTCTCAAATGACTCTGCACTGACAGCGGCGCGGGCTGGCATGTCAGGCCGATGGCCTGCCGATTCATGACCCACATGATGAGTTGCGCCACAAGGTCAGAGCAGCGTCGTACACTGTCAGTGTGTGTGTGTGTGTGCACGCACATGTACACTCAAGTGCGTACACACACACACACACACACACACACACACACACACACACACTCAAGTGCGCGCACACATGGGCGGGCTGACTGACCGGTTGCAAACGAGGCAAAGATGGGTTGGGCCTCTTTGCTGAGGCGATAGTCGGTGAGCTTGCGGTTGGACAGGGAGTGCCAAAACGCCGTGTCCGCCGAACTGAGCAGCACATAATCACAATACACCAGCAGGATTGACAGCAATAAGGAAAAAAAAAAAAACAAGTGGACAACCACACCAGCATGTGACGACAGGAATCCCCTCCACGTTCACGGTCGTGGACACATGTCCAGCTGCTGGAACACCCACTTACGTCATCACCAACGACACATGCACAAACATGCACAACACAGGACAAACACAAACAAAACTGGCTGGCATGGATACCTCGAGAACGGGGCAAACTTGAGCACTGGGGTCGACGTCATGGTGCTGCTGCTGCGCAAGCAAAGAGGCAATGGGGAGCAGTGAGGCAATCAGGCCAGCCAGCAATCACCTGAACAAACGAGTGGACGCCTGCTTGTGGATCACGGGGTACATGAGATGAATGAGCCAGCGATCACAGACCACCAAAAGGGAAAGAAGCAAGACCCTCCTCACTTGTTGTTTGTTGTGTGGGTCAGCAGCGTTGTGCGTCAGCCGAAAAGTGGTTGTGTCATCTATTATTTTTCCACAATGATGATGGAGCGAAGCGGCAGACGAGGCAGCAGGAGTCGCAGCCGCAGCCCTCCGCCTGGCAGGCAGGGCCGCGGCAGGCGAGGGGATGAACCATGGAGGAGGAGAGATGATGATGATGATGGCGGTGATGGAGACACGCGGCGGGGCAGGGACGACCGGAAGCCCACAAGAAGAAGCCGGTGGGATGACGACGACGACGACGACCATGACCGCAATGCAAGCCGTCACCGCCGTGGCCAGCGCGATGTGCAGCGTCACGACCGCACCGCCAGGAACAGTGGCGGTAACGAACGTTTCCACCAACGCGCAGCGCGAGAAGAACCCCGGCGGGAAGGACAGGTACCGCAGGCACCGCAGGCACCGCCTCTGCGTGAAGAGAGAGAGCGTGGTGGTCGCGGACCGCGGCGGCCAAGGTGGCGTCAAGAGCAGAACGACAACGACGAAGGCGTTGAACCCGGCAAGGAGCGATGGGGCCCTCAAGAGGATGGTGACGATGACGAAGATGGTGATGAAGAGCAAAAGCCCAAGGAGCTGCCCAACTTTGAGCAATCTGGCTTGCTCTTCAATGACGCCAACACATTCAAGGGTGTTGTGATTCAGCATGTTGAGCCGCCGGAGGCGCGCAAGCCCAAGCTGCGCTGGCGCCTGTATCCCTTCAAGGGCGACGAGCTTCTGCCCCTCATCTACATTCATCGCCAGTCGTGCTACCTCATTGGTCGAGATGACTCTGTCTCCGACATTCCCATGCTCCACCCATCCATCTCAAAACAGCACGCCGGTCAGTGTGTGTGTGTGTGTGTGTGTGGCGTGTGTGTGTGTGTGTGTGTGTGTGTGTGTGTGTGGCGTGTGTGACAAAGAGACAGAGACAGAGAGAGAGAGTGTGTGTGTGTGTGTGTGTCAGTGCATTCGTGTGTGTGTGTGTGTCTGTACATGTTTGTGTGTTTGTGGCTGGTTTTGTGCGCATCTGTCTGTGCGCGTGCATTTGTGTCTGTGTTTGTGAACCCATTCATTCTGTATATTTGTATCTGGTATCCACATCGTTGCCCGCCTGGTTCATGTGCCAATTGCGCTGTTGGGCTGCGTCCACCTCATCCTACGCCCCGCTCACCTCCCCCGCCCCTCCTCCTGTTTCACACCAAACCAACCATGTAGTGATTCAATTTCGGCTCGTGCCGCAAAAGGCCGGTGCCCGTTCCAAAAACATCATCAAGCCATACATCATGGACCTTGGCAGGTGCGCCCAAACACACATTTGGCTCTTGCATGTTCTGTGTGCATGCTTTTCAACTGCTTTGTGCACGTATCATGCTGCTCGCCCCAGCTTTCTTATTACCACACACACGTACACGTACATACTTGTACAATTGCACACACACTCACACTCACACATACACACACATGCACTCACACTCACACATGCACTCACATGCACACACGTACACACACATGTGCGCGTGGCACACCACCACCACCACACCACCATCATCACCGCTGCAGCACAAACAAGACGACACTCAACGGCAAGGAGCTTGAGCCGCGGCGCTACTACGAACTGCGGGAACGCGATGCGCTCAAGTTTGGATTCAGTACCCGCGAGTACGTGCTGTTGCATGAGCAGTCGACAGGCGCTGGTGGCGGTGGCGGCGGTAGTGGTGGTGGTGACACCGCTGATGTGGATGAACTGGACATGGAGCAAGAGGACATTGGTGTGCAGCCCGTGGACCAGTAACGACGTGGCAGTCATATGTGTGTGTGTGTGTGTGCGTGTGTGTGTGCGTGTGTGTCTGTGTGTGTCTGTGTGTTGTGTGTTGTGTCTGTGTCTGTGTGTGTCTGTGTGTGTCTGTGTGTGTATGTGTTTGCCCCTCTTCTCCCTTCCCTCGATATGTTCCCACCCCTCTCTCCTTCTCTCTGTCTCTCGCTCCCTTTGTATCCATTTCATGGCTGTAGATCATCCATTGGCCTTGTTCTGATCTGTCTTCTATGCATCTAAGAAACAACAAGCAGCACCAACCCTGAGCCAACCCCCCCCCCCCAGCAATGTCAGTGTGAAGTGGTGTTGTGGATTGAAAGGAAATGTGAGGCCAGGGGTGACTGATTCACTATGACGACAACATGGCCTCGCACGCAACAGCTGCCCTTATCACGCAGCCTTTTCTTGGATCTTGGTCCACTGCTCTGGCGTGTACGTTTTCTGGTCGCAAGTAAGCGTACAATGCGTCGATGAATGTGTGGCCGTGAAACATAGGTCGCAACAACATGCAACTGAACCCAGCATAATGTCACAACTCACGAGGGCACATACGCACACCCGTCAGAAACAGTCACGCAACACATCCCTGCAGCATGACATGCCGCATCACACACACACACACACACACACACACACACACACACCACAACGTAACAGGCGAGAGCACGCTCACCTGAGAGAAGGCGTGGATGGCTTTGAGTTCGTCTTCGAGGGCAGTGTTGACGAGGCGGTGCCGCTTCAGAAGAGGCAAGCCCTGGAACTGTGTTGACACAATCACCGCCTCAAAAGCCTGGCCGCACCCACCAGAAGTGTCCTCAACCTGAGATGGAGTGCGTGTGCGCATGTGTGTGTGTGTGGAGGGAGGGAGGGGTAATGTTGAGCGTGGATGTTGCAGCCCGTGCAAACCAATCATCAGAGCAAATGCATACAATCCACACATCACATCACATACATCACACACACATCACACATCACACACATCACATCACACATCACACACACATCACACATCACACATCATATACATCACACACACACATCACACACACACATGACTTCTGACCTCAACATGCTGTGCCTCCAGTGCATCTTGGAGCTTCGCACGGATGCTCTCCGCTGTGATTGCCATCGTGCTGGTCAGAGATGGTGCAGGTGATGAGTGCTGTTGGCGAATGTTACTGCCTCCCTCTGCCTGCTTTTGCTGATTTCTATGAATACCACCCGCAAATGTTCCGAACTTGGGGCGTTGCGAGGCAGCAGAGCACCTGCCGCTGCTGCACCACCACGAGCCTTCGCCATGCTGCGGCGAGGAGGGCAGCAAGTGCTGTCACAGCAGCAACAACAACAACAACAACAACAACAACAACAACCACGCGCACGAGCGATCTGAGGCGTGTGGGTATGGCTGTGCGGCTGCGCAGTGCACGCAGTGCATGCAGTGCTGGTGTTGCGTCATTTCACACACATCGACAACTGCAACAGCAGCAGCCTGCAGAAGGCTCGCGGGTGGGTGCTGCGGTGGTATCTGCAGCGTTGAAGGAGTTGGAAGCTGCACTTGGCAAGCAAGCTGTGACCACGGCCACGGCCGTGCGGGACCAACACTCGCACGACGAATCGTTTCATGCACCTCACCTCCCAGATGCAGGTAGTGTGATAGCGTGCGTTTGTTTGTTGTTTGTTTGTTGTTTGTTTGTGTGTGTGTGTGTGTGTGTGTGTGTTTGTGATTGCGGAAATGCGATTGTGATTACCTGTGTGGCTGTGTGATTCTGTATGCCGTTGTGTATGTGCGTGTCTGTGCGCGTGGCTTGTCCCATACATTCTCTGCATCCACTGCACGCACTGCACAGTGGTCTATCCAACCAGCGTTGAGCAAGTAAGCGCTGTGGCGCAAGTATGCCACCAGCACCGCGTACCCATGATCCCATTTGGCACAGGCACGGGGCTGGAAAGCGGCGTGAGCGCACCTTCGGTGAGACGCACACCACCCTACCCGCAGCTGCTCCGGGCTCATTGCACTTTCACCACGCTCTCTCCTTCTTCGTGTTCTCGCTATTGTCGTGAGGACTGCCCCACGCTGCCCCATGCTGCTCCTCCCTCGTCTTCTATCAGCACATGTGGTCGCATGGCGTGACGCGTGTCTGAACAACACTGTTCTGCTTGACAGGGAGGCGTGTGCATTGACCTGTCCAAGATGGACGCCATCGTCGATGTCAACACGGAGGATGCCACATGCACGGTGCAGCCTGGCGTGACGCGCAAATCACTCAACGCGCATCTTCGCGACACAGGCCTTTGGTTTCCCATCGACCCTGGCGCCGGTATGTCCTTTTCCACTCAACCGTCTTTCGGCTGCTCGGCTGTGCGTGTCTCTGTGTGTCTGTGTCTGTGTCTGTGTGTGCGTACATCTTGATGTGTGTGTGTGTGTGTTGGAGATTGGTTGCACGGCCCGGCTTCACTCTTTCACTCTTTCTCTTTCTCCGTTTCTCTCTGTCTGTCTCTTCCTTTCTCTCGATGTGCCTGCGTTCCTGTCTGTGAATATCATTTGTGGCAATCTTTTCTCTTTTGTCACTCACGTTCTCGTGTCTTCACCACAATGTGTGCTGCCGCCTTGCCCCATCATTCCATCGTTTACCTTGCACGCACATCCTCCTCGCCATCATGTCATGTCACCGCCCGCCGCCGCCACACAACGCGACACCACAAGATGCGTCGCTGTGTGGCATGTGCGCCACGGGTGCGTCTGGCACCGTTGCTGTTCGATATGGCACAATGCGCGACAATGTGCTTAATCTGCAGGTGGTGATGGCTGATGGTCAGATCATGCACACCGCAGGACCAAAGGTTCGTGGCGTGTGGTGGTCGGTGATTTTGGTGTTTGCGACAAGGAGGGGGACAAATGCGGGTGTGCACGTTGCTTGGTCATCAGTGTTATGTTATCGTGAAGACAGACTTGTTTGTATGACAGCTAAACCGTAACTTTGTGTCGCACACACAATCACACAGACATACACATTTACACATACGCACTCACACACACACACACACTTACACGCACTCACTCGCACTCACTCACAACCTCATTCACACACTCACACGCAATCTCACTCACAATCTCACTCACAACCTCACTCCTCCTCCAAAGGGCCGGGCGCCCAAGTCGTCTGCGGGGCTGAACCTGACGCATCTGCTGATTGGCTCCGAGGGCACGCTGGGCATCATCACGGCAGCCACGCTCAAACTTCAGGGGCAGCCCGAGCACGTGGCGTCGGCGGTGTGTGCGTTTGACAGCGTGGAGCAGGCCAGCCAGACGGCCGCGCAGATTATCCAGTGCAACATCCCCGTCGCACGCATGGGTACGCATGCTGTTGAAGGAGGAAGAAGGGGGTGGAGTGGGGTGATGATGAGGGAGAGGGGAGGCAGGGTGGTGCAGCTCGTGTGAGCCGGGCCGAGGATGGCTGGTTGGTTGGTGGGTGGGTTGATTGTGGTGTGATTTGCTCCCTTGGCTGTGCATATGTCTGCACACAGGCGTGCGATTGCTGCTCACGCACATGTGTGTGTGTGTGCGTGTGCACAACAGAGCTGCTTGATGCCGGCATGATGAAAGCGTTCAACACATTCAAGAAAACGACAGAATACGTCGAGAAGCCACACCTCTTCCTCGAATTCCATGGTTTGTGTGTGCTGATGTGTGTGTGCGTGTGTGTGTGTCTGTGTGTGTGTGTCTGTGTGTCTGTGTGTCTGTGTGTGTCTGTGTGTGTGTGATTTGCCCAGTTCTTCTTCCTGTACACTCTCACCCTTTCATCTCCAACTCACGCCAACACCACAACCCTTCCCTTCCCTCCATGCGCCACCCATCCCCCTCCATCCCAACACTTCAGGCTTCAGTGCCTCGTCGCTGGATGAGCAGATTTCGTTTGCACAGGAGCTGGCAGCCGACAACGGCGGCGACGCATTCGCACACGCGCACGACATTGAAACGCGCAATAAACTCTGGGAGGCCCGCCATAACGCGTGGTGAGGTTGAGGGGATGACCCACGCATGTGCATGTCCATGTGCATGTGGGTGTGGGTGTGTCCTGTCGTGGCTTGTTTTGTGCTTGCATGCACTCGTGTGGAGGAGTGTGCGTTTGTCCTGTCTATTCTGGTTTTCATTCGCACGCGCGAAGCTGATGTGAACCACCAGTCACCTCCCTCTGCCATCCCTGCTCACACACCCTCCTCGACACATGCGTGTGCTTACGTGTGCATGTGCTCCATGTTGCCCAGGTATGCTGCGTTGTCGCTTCGTCCTGGCGCCAAGGGGTACTCGACAGACGTGTGTGTCCCCATCTCGCAGCTCCCGGCTATGGTGCATCACGCAACGCACGAGGTTCACCGCCTCAACCTCACAGGTCTGGCCGTTGTCTGTCTGTGTGTGTATCTGTGTGTCTGTGTCTGTGTCTGTGTCTGTTTTGGAACAGACGACACAGCATGTTGGCTTGAATCCGTTGTTAGGCGCTCGCGCACACACGCATTCACACACACACTGTGTGATTCTCGCCACACCACCATCACACACACACACACTCTCTCTCTCTCCCTCTCTCCCTCACACACTCTGCCTGCTACCGCCTCCTGTCTGTTCGACCACGCCATATGCAGCGCCCATTGCGGGGCACGTCGGCGACGGCAACTTCCACTGCATCACCGTCTTTGATGCGAACGACCGCGACGAGGTGCAGCGGGTCCACGACCTCTCAGCCTCGCTCGCAAGGTCAGAGGAGGCCGGGGGGTTGGGGTTGAATGGGCTATGAGTATGTGAGTGTGTGACCAGGGTTGTCTGTGTTTGTGTGTCTGTGTTTGTGTGTGTGTGTGTGTGTCTGTGTGTGTCTGTGTGTGTGTGCGCGCGCGCGCTGAACGTCAACAGAGCTCACGTTTGCGTCTCTCCGCCTCCTCCTCCTCCTCTTTGCAGAAAAGCGATTGATCTTGGCGGCACGTGCACGGGCGAGGTGGGAACGCTCATTGATGAGAACATCTCACTCACTCACACACTCACTCACACTCACACATTCACACAATCACTCACGCACTCACACTCACTCACTCACACACACTCACTCACTCACTCACACTCACTCACTCACACACACTCACTCACTCGCACTCACTCACACACACACACGCACTCACTCGCACTCACTCACACACACACACGCACTCACTCACACAACCTCGCTTGCCGCTGCAGCACGGCGTTGGAGTTGGGAAGCGCGAGTTCCTGACAGCAGAGTTTGGTGCGCCGGCCATTGCTGCCATGCACGCAATCAAACACGCCCTCGACCCCTACAACCTCCTCAACCCAGGCAAGCTGTACCCGCAGTCGTAGTCGAAAGCAGCGAAGCCATGTGGTGTGGTGTGTGTGTGTGTGTGTGTGTGTGTGTGTGTGTGTGTGTGTGTGTGCGCTCTTGGGAGCGGGAAGCAAGGACGGTGCTGGCTCAACATAAAAGAAGCAGCAAACGCAACGGCAAGCAAACCACTGCCACATCATCATCCATCCATCCATCCAGCTGACGTGGCACAAACCAACAACAACAACAAACAACAACAACAACGGAAACAATTCCCGCAACAACAACAACAAACGCGCATTCATCATCATCAAAGCAGCACAACAAACAAAGTACTGCCCCTTCCGCCGCACAGTCCCGACCCCACCCTCGCCATCATGAGTGACTTCTCCGACCGCGAACAGCCGGATGTACTGTGCCTCTTCGACGTCGACGGCACCTTGACGGTGGCCCGCTCGGTCAGTTGCTTCGCGCAGGGACAGGTGTCGAGGGAGAGCTTGAAGTGTTGTTTGGAGAGGGTGTTGCGTATTCACCATGATCGTGTACATGGCTGTGCATGTCTGATGGTGCTGGCGTGTACGTCGCCGTGACAGGTCATTCAGCCCGAGATGAAGGAGTTCATGGAGAAGCTGCGTAAGAAGTGCGCCATCGGCCTCGTCGGCGGCTCTGATCTCAACAAGATCGAGGAGCAGATGGCCGGCACTGGTGCGTGTGTGTTTGTGTTGTATGCGTGTCTGTGTGTGTTGCATGCGTGTGCGTGTGTGTGTGCGTGTGCGCGCGTGTGTTGTATGTGTGTGTGTGTGTCTGTGCCTGTGTGTTTGTGTGTTTGTGTGTTGTGTGTTGTGTGTATGTGTGTCTGTGTGTCTGCGTCTGTCTGTGTAGCTCTTTGTCTGTGTGTTCCTGCCTGACCTCCTTCTCCCAATGTGCATGCACACACACACGCACACACACACACACACGCACAGCGCGCACCGCCTACGACTTTTGCTTTGCGGAGAACGGCCTCACCGCGTTCAAGGGAGAGCAGGAGCTTGCCACACAGGTACGCTGCTTGTCCGTCGCGCCTTTGTTCTCCACGCAAGTGCTGCCATCTGGCGACATCGACTTGCACACACACACACACTCACACACGCCCTGACTTGCCCTTCTTCTCTGCCAGAGCTTCCTCGGCTTCCTTGGCGAGGAGAAGATGCAGAAGCTGCTCAACTTCTGCCTCAAGTACATTGCCAACCTCGACATTCCCCAGAAGCGGTACAGTGCCTGTCTGTGTTGTCTGTGTGTGTCTGTGTGTCTGTGTGTCTGTGTGTCTGTGTGTCTGTGTGTCTGTGTGTGTGTGTGTGTGTGTGTGCCTGTGACTGCGTCGATCTTCACAGAGGCGACGCCAGGTCAATGAGAGACCTGTGCTTGCCCTCCACCTCCTCACGCGCCAGGCACTTCCGACTCACACCCGAAACACGTGCTTGCTGACAGCGGCACCTTTATTGAGTTCCGCAACGGGATGCTGAACGTCTCGCCCATCGGCCGCAACTGCTCCCGTGCAGAGCGCAACGCATTTGAGGCCTTTGACAAGGTAAGACGCCAGTGTGTGTGTGTGTGTGTGTGTGTGTGTGTGAACACTTTGAACGCCGTTCTCACCAGATGTGTGGCCATCATGACCGCTGATGACCACAGGAGGCCGGCGTTCGCCGCACGTTCGTGGAGGCGCTCAAGAAGGAGTTTGACGGCTGGGGCCTGACCTTCTCCATTGGCGGGCAGGTGCGACTGGTGTGTGTGTGTGTGTGTGTGTGTCTGTGTGTGTCTGTGTGTGTGTGTCTGTGTGTGTCTGTGTGTGTGTGTGTGTCTGTGTCTCTGTGCGTGTGTGTGTGTGTGTGCACGCGTCTGGAACGAATCCACAGCCAACCGCGCACAAACACATGTACATATGTGCTGCGCACACCACAGATCAGCTTTGATGTGTTTCCGAGCGGGTGGGACAAGACGTACTGCCTGCGTCACGTGCAGGAACACGCAAACTTCAAGACCATCCACTTCTTCGGCGATAAGGCGTTCGAGGTGAGTCGTACACACACCACACACACACGCACACACACACACGCACGCACACGCACACACACACACTCACACACACACACACACACTCACTCACTCACTCACTCACTCACTCACTCACTCACTCACTCACTCACTCACTCACTCACTCACTCACTCACTCACTCACTCACTCACTCACTCACTCACTCACCCATGTGCGTGTGTCTTAAGGGCGGCAACGACTACGAGATTTTCCACCACGAGGCGACGACAGGGCACGCCGTCAAGTCGTGGGAGGACACAAAGTGAGCTGCTGTTCTTGTCTGCCATGCTCTGTCCATACACACACACGCGCGCGCACACATGCACATGCACATGCACACACACATGCACACACACACACATATCATGCCTTCACTACATCACCTCACCTCAGCTCACCCACCGCCACCGCTGTGACCATGACGCAGGGCTCAGCTGTCCAAGCTTTTCAACATCGACAACTAGGCGCACTGTGCTTGGAGTGTACGGAGTGTAGTAAACAAGTGTCAACACCAACACCAGTTACACCAACTGCAACAGTCATACCAGCACTCACCCAACCCGTGCTCTCGCGCGTGTGCAATGGAAGGTGTTCGGGGGAGGGTCAGTGTACTTGGGCATTCAGCACGCAGAGTTGCGTGGTCAAGTGGCAAGGTACGGACAGGACCGGTAAAAGGGAGGCAGGGACAACTGAAGCGGAGAAAAACAAGAGGGACTAAGTGTGTCAGGCGTGCAAGATGGAAAGGAACGCCAAAGGCAACGCAAACGACTGCACCACCGCTCAAAAACAGAGAACAAAGAACAGGCCGGCAACGTGTGCAACGTGTGCAACATGTGCAACGTGTATGGGCTGCGCGTGAGCGGCGTGGTTTATGCCGGGAAGACAACAAAGGTGCCGGCCTTGCCGCGACCAACGCTGCTTGGCTGCTTGACAGAGGCGTCTGCGTTGAAGCCGAGCGCAGCGGCATCGTTGCGCAGGCGGAAGTTGAACGTGTTGGGCTGGCCCGTGGGGTGCGCAACAAACTCCGTAAACTCGCCGCCGCTGCCAGAGGTGCCCTTGGCGCTAAGGAAGCGGCCTGGGTGCTTGATGCTCTCAAAGCGAAGGTTGCCGTTCAGCGACGGGTTCACCGTGAACCGCGTGCCCTCGCCTGTGTGTGTGTGTGTGTGTGTGTGTGTGTGTGTGTGTGTGTGTGTGTGTGTGTGTGTGTGTGTGTGTGTGTGTGTGTGTGTGTGTGTGTGTGTGTGCATGTGTGTGTGTGCGTGCATGTGTGTGTGCGTGCATGTGTGTGTGTGTGTGTGAAGCCGTAGACCAGCGTGACATGCGTGAGTTCTGATGTGGCCGTGGCGGTGTCATTACATGTTGCGGCATACACGTTGCATGCGGCAAGTGCATGGGCAGACCTTGGCCGCCGTTGGCAGTCATGGTGTTGTCGGCGTTGATGCGGACAAACTTCCCGCTCGCCACGTTCTGCAGGCGGATGATAGCGCCGGCGCGGAGGGCGGGGTGCACGCCTCCAGCGGGTGGTGGCGGGTACGGCGACTGGGCCGGTGGCGGTGCAAAGGGGCTCTGATGCGCTGGTGGTGGCGGGTAGGGGGACTGGGCCGGCGGGGGTGCAAACGGTGGCTGGGCTGGTGGTGGGGCGCGACCGGGTGGGGCGCGGCCGGGTGGGGCGTGGCCGGGGAAGGGCGGGTGCTGGACGTCAGCAAAGGTCATGGTGAAGGAGGCACCCTCGCCAAGGCCAACCTCCTGCGATGGCTTGGGGCAGCCGTCCTGGCGGAACCCAACGCCTGGCAGCAGGTAGCGGACACGTGGAGGGATGAGGGGAAGTGGATAACGGGAAGATGAGGTGAGATTGGAAAATGGTGAAGGGGGAAGTGATGAACGGAAGGGAGAGCGTGGCAAACACACGCACACACGCGCGTACATACACATACACATACACATGCACGCACTTGCAACACACTCCCCTTCCCCCTTTGAACACCCTTTCCACGACTCGAGATGACGACTGACCTCGGGAGCCGTCGATGGAGCGGAGGATGTACCTGTTTGGTCCAATCATCTGCACACGCAGCTCGCACTGGCCGCCGCCAGACCCGGCCTGGCCCTTGAGCGCAATGTACTTGTCGGGGAACTTCTCGCTGCGCAGGCGCAGGTGTCCGCTGGGGGATGGGTCAACCACGAACCGCGTGAAGGGGCCTGGGTAAAGAATGTCGTGGTGGTGAGAAGGCGGGGTGGTGAGAAGGTGGTCGCACTTGTGGTGGTGGTGGTGGTGGTGGTGGCGCATTGACGGCAGCAATGACAGTAACAACCAGCATGGTGAAAATGCAGCGTGCTAAAGGCGGACGAAACACCCACACGCACCGTCGCCGCCGGTTGCGGTGAGGTTGCCCTCCCTGTCGACGATGATGTTCTTGCCCGTCTTGTACGAGCGGAGGCGGATGACGCGGCCGCGGGGCAGCACCGCAGGCGGCACGTCCATCGGCTCTGCACACAGCGGTCACGAGGGGCGGTGTGTGCATGAGTGGTAGTTGGTGTGGTGGTGGGGGTGGGGTTAAGAACAGGGACGCAATGGCGTGGGTATGACGATAAAGTGGGCATTCAGGGGAGCGACAGGTGGGTGGTGGAGATGAATGCACAAGCACAAAGAAGAGCAAGCGCACGAACACAAAGCAGAGCAAGCGGGCAGTGCTTGTGGCGAAACTGACTGGCGTATGCGCTCTTGGCCGCGGCGTGGTGCGGGTGCTTGCGGGCGGTGCCGCGCTTGACGTGGGCGACGTTGTTGCCGTCAATGGTGACGTTGGCGTTGCCCAGGAGCATGGTCTTGCTCTGTTGCATGGGCGGCAGGTGGTCCCGGAACTCCGCATGCGTTCCATTGGAAAAGTTGATGGCCCAGTCGACCTGCTCAAACGTGTGCGTGTGTGTGCGTACGTGTGCGTACGTGTGTGTGTGCGTACGTGTGTGTGCGTGTGTATGCGTGCGTGTGTGTGTGTGTGTGCGTACGTGTGTGTGTGTGTGTGTGTGTGTGTGTGTGTGTGTGTGTGTGTGTGTGTGTGTGTGTGTGTGTGTGTGTGTGTGTGTGTGTGTGTGTGTGTGTGTGTGATTGAGTGAGTGTGTGTGTGTGTGTGTGTGTGATGGAGTGTGAGTGAGTGCAGGCTCTTGCCACGCAACCAGCACTCCCTGATTGCATTCGACCATCTTAACATACTCCCACACACACACACACACACAACCCAAGTTCACGGTTTGCAACTGACGTGGAAGTCGCCGGCGGCCTGGCGGGTGAGGGAGATGAGGCCCGACTGCTGGGGCTGGATGGTGATGGTGTGCTGCTCGTGTGTGTTCTGCTGAACACCGTGCACGTGAGCGCTCACCGTGGCGGGCGCAGGTGACCTGATGTGTTGTACAGCGAGTGGTGTGCAGCGTTCAGTGGGGATACAGTGAGTGCTGTGCAGTGTGGAATGAGGTAACAAGCAAGCACGCAAGCACGCACGCAAAACAGCAGCAGGGCGACGTTTTGCCTGTGAAGCATGTGCATGAACAACAACAACAACAACAACAACAACAACAACAACAACAACTTAAACAACAACAACAACAACAACAACAACAACAACAACAACAACTTAAACAACACCACAGGAGCTCCCAACTTACGCGTTGATCACCGTCATGTGGGTCACACCTTGTCCCTGCCAAACACAAACAAGCGGCAGCAAGAGGAAAACCAAAAGGTCAGTCAAAAACAAAACAAACACACACAACACACGTCAATCGACACAATATGAACAACACCACTAACAGGCAAAGCAAACAAAACAACACAAACACACATATCCACACACATCCACACACACGAACCATCTTGGTGGTTGGTGGTTGTTGAGGGAGGCGCTGCTTGTTGTGCTGCTGCTGCTGCTTGTTGTGCTGCTGCTGCTGCTTGTTGTGCTGCGTGCGATCGCTTTGCGCTGGCTTGCATGGCAGTGGAGGAAAATGATGCAAACACGCAACACACAAACACACACAACAAAAAAGAAAGGACGCCAGCCAGGCGCAAGCTTCGTGGGATTGGAAAAGTGGTTGAAAACATCAGCAAATTGTCGTTGATGACGCATCGTCAAGATGCGATGGTGTGGCGATGATGACAACCCATGACGATGACCAACACAACTCTGTTTTTGTGCGCACATGCATGCACGTCTCTCTGTTTTGTGCATCATGTCATCACACACATCATAGCACGGTGCCCTCCCCCCTCTCTCTGTGAGTGTGCTGACGCAGCGCGCACATCCCAAACACCTCTTGACGATAACATTTGACAAACAAAACAGTTCGTGTCTGGCCAGTTTACTGACAGATGGTGTGCAGCAATGGCACCTGGAGTCATTTCAAACACACAGTTGTGTCATATATACAACAAAGGGGGTTTGCCGATTAAGAAGCTGAGCGAAAAAGCAATGAACTTCTGTTCGACCAAGGATAAGCAAGCAGGAAGAGAAGGGAGAAGGACAAGGGTGGGGGTGGAGGGACGACAGAAGGAAGATTGCACAACGGAGCGAGGTGCGCGCGTGTGCGCAGCTGAGCATTCATGCAGTTGGTCATGGCGATGCCGCAGATGGCGCATCAACAACGAACAAGCGCTGTGCCTCTGCGCAAACACACACAACCCAGAGCATGCATGCAAGTGAACAACACACACACGCTCTCTCTCTCTCGCTCTCACACACAACCACACACCAACAGTGTTGTATGGAGTCGCTTAAAAGTCGGCATCAAAGACAAGCTGGTGGGAGTGCTCCTTCTTCTCGGCAGCCATGACACCGCTCTTCTGGTACTCGCTCACGCGGCGCTCAAAGAAGTTGGTCTTGCCCTCGATGGAAATGTTCTCCATAAAGGGGAAGGGGTTGGTGGCGTTGTAGACCTTGTCGTAGCCGAGGCTGACGAGGAGGCGGTCGGAGACAAACTCAATGTACTCGCGCATGAGAGTGGAGTTCATGCCGAGGAGGGAGACGGGCAGCGCCTCGGTCAAAAACTCCTGCTCAATCTCGACGGCGTCCATGATGATGCCAATGACGCGCTCCTTGGGCGGCTTCTTGTGCAGCATGGAGAACATGAGGCAGGCAAAGTCGCAGTGCAGGCCCTCGTCGCGGCTGATGAGCTCGTTGGACTGCGTCAGGCCGGGCATGAGGCCGCGCTTCTTGAGCCAGAAGATGGCGGCGAACGACCCGCTGAAGAAGATGCCCTCGACAGCGGCAAAGGCGACGACGCGCTCCGCAAAGGAGGCCCGCTTGTGGTCGATCCAGCGCATGGCCCACTCGGCCTTGCGCTTGACGGCGGGCAGCGTCTCAACGGCGTTGAAGAGCATGTGCTTCTCCTGCGGGTCGTTGATGTACGTGTCGATGAGCAGCGAGTACATCTCAGAGTGGATGTTCTCAATCATAATCTGGAAGCCGTAGAAGCAGCGCGCCTCTGGCAGCTGCACCTCGCACATGAAGCGCTCGACGAGGTTCTCGTTCACAATGCCGTCGCTGGCGGCGAAGAAGGCGAGGACGTGCTTGATAAAGTGCTGCTCCGTGTCCTTGAGGCCGCGCCAGTGGTCGAGGTCGCGCGACAGGTCAACCTCCTCCGCGGTCCAGAAGGAGGCGACGGCCTTCTTGTACATGGACCACACCTGGCGGTGCTGAATGGGCAGGATGACAAAGCGGCTCGGGTTCTCCCGCAGCAGGGGCTCGGCGGCAATCTCCTCGTCCGTCAGCTCGACGCACTCGTCGTTCTGCAGAGCCTCCTTGGCGCGGATCTTGAGCTCAGCAAGGCCCTCGGTCACAGTCCTGGTCTCGTCACCGAGCATCTTCACTGTTGTTGCTTGCTTGGGGTTGGGGGGGGGGGGAGGAAGTTGTCGGAAAGGGCTCGCTGACAGGAGTAGTCGGAAAGTGTGCAGTGCTGAGGGAAGTTGTCGGAAAGGGCTCGCTTGGAAAATGAAAGACATCCCCCACTCAGACCATCAATAACTGTGTGCAGCGTCTGCCACCGCGCCAAACTAACTCAAATTCGCGCGGGCCAGCCAGTGCGCGGTTGGAGAGGGAGGGCTGCAACAAACTCTCTCGCCGCGTTCACTGGCTCGCTGGGAAGGCGCCAAAAAGTTTAAAAGATTGCCGCCAACTCTCTGGAGTTGTTGATACCTGCATGGGTGGGAACTGGTAAATTTTGTCGGAGATGTTCGGCAATCGCCACAACTGAAGCAAACCGAGCTCAAAAAACGACGACAACCAACATCCCCATCGACAACACAACCAAAGTCGAAGACAGACCAACCAACCAACCCACGAGAACGCAGAGAAGCAGAGCGGGGCGACTTGGGGTCTCCACTGTCACACAAACGCAACCACACACACACAATGTCGTACGATCGTGCGATTACGGTGTTCTCACCGGATGGCCATCTGTTCCAAGTCGAGTATGCACTGGAGGCGGTTCGCAAGGGAACAACAGCGGTGCGTTTGTTGTGTCTGGTTTTGTGTGTTTGTGTTTGTTGTGCTGTGATGTGTCGATGCACATGATCAACCAACCCATCGCCTTTCCCCCTGCTCACGCTCACGCTCACACGCCAACATCATGCGCAGGTTGGCATCCGTGGCAAGGACTGTGTCGTGCTGGCGGTTGAGCGCCGGTCGGCCATGAAGCTGCAGGACACACGCACCGTGAGGAAGATTGCCTCCATCGATGATCACATTGCCGTCGCCTTTGCTGGCCTCACTGCAGACGCGCGCGTCCTTGTCAACAAGGCCCGTGTCGAGAGCCAGAGCCACCGTCTCACCGTCGAGGATGCACCCACCGTCGAGTACATGACCCGCTTCATCGCCGCCACAAAACAGGTTGGCTTCTTTGGCATGCAATCGTCGACGCCTGCGTGTGTGTGTGTGTGTGTGCAAGTCTGGACGTTTGTCTGTGGGTTTCCGCCGTGCATGTACGCACGCCTCGGCTCACTCTCATACACTCACACTCACACATGAAACTCACACGCTCTCTCACTCACACTCACACACGCACACAAAACACACACGTTCACACACAAAACACAAAACGCGCACGTAGACATACACACAGAGCAATGGCCGGAGACCATTTGGTGTTTCCGCGCTCATTGTTGGCTTCGACCCAGATGGCACACCCCGCCTGTTCCAAACAGAACCATCAGGAAACTACTCTGCATGGAAGGTGCGCGACTTTGCTTGCTTTTTCCTTCTTGTCTTCTCCTTTTGCTGCACGTTCGGTACTGCCTCACGTTGCCAACACACAAGCGAGTGTACTCCCCTTGTCGACCCTCTTCCCTCTGTCTTGTTTTCCTCCTCCCCCCCCCTTCCTCGTTTTCCTGGTTTCCCTCGTGTCCTTCTCCTCCTCTCCCTTTCCCCGCCTGCACCAATCAACCACTGGCTGTGATGAACAGACGTATTGAATTCCTCGTTGCCTATGCTCCGCTCATTCTTTGTGTGTGCGTGCATGTGACGAAATCACTTTGTCTTTCTGTTGACCTCTGAGCCGTGGTTGCGCTTGTGCCGATGTTCTTGGTTCACCTGTGCACGCGCCCTTGCGTGCTTCTTCGTTGCTGCGTTTCCTTATGCCCTCTTGCCTTGCTCTTGATTGCCCTGCCCTTCTTGCTCGGCTGATGTGATGGCGGTGATGAACAGACGTATTGAATTCCTCGTTGCCTATGCTCCACGCACATGTGTGGACATGTGACGACAACCTTTTGTCTTTCTGTTGACCTCTGAGCCATCATCAATCGCCCGTTGCTTTCCTTGATTGCTTGCTTTTTCTGTTGCTGTGAAGGCGTGCGTGTGTGACTGCAATGACGAACAGACGTATTGAATTCCTCGTTGCCTATGCTCCACACACGTGTGGACATGTGACGACAACCTCTTTGTCTTTTTTTCTGTTGAGACTGAGCTTCCACCCACGCCTCTCTTTTAACTCTTGTCAGCGTTTCGTGTTGTGTTGATTTGCAAGAGTGCACACAGCCGGTGCTGGTGCTGCCGTATCTGTGTTTGTGTTGAGCGCATTGCGATGGCTTTTACGCGGTTCCCCTCCCATTTGCTGGTTGCTTGCTCGCCCTTTTGTTGCTGAACGCTTGCCGACTGAGGCACCGTGGTCACCCTCCACTCACTGCTGCTGCTGCTGTTGCTGTTGTTGTTGTTGTTGTGTGGCTGCAGGCGAATGCGATTGGCGGCCCACGTGCCAAGACGTGCCGGGAGTACCTTGAGAAGAACTTTACTGACGAGGCTGTGGAGACGCAGGAGAAGGCGCTGCTGCTGGCAGTCAAGGCCCTGCTCGAGGTGGCCCAGTCTGGCAGCAAGAACATCGAGGTCTCGGTCATGCGCAAGGACACAACACTCAAGGTGCGTGTGTGTGTGTGTGTGTGTGTTGGTGTGTTGGTGGTTGTTTGGGTGTGTGTGTGGGTGTGTGTGTGGGTGTGGGTGTGTGTGTGTGTGTGTTGGTGGTGGTTGTTTGGGTGTGGGTTCCTTCCGACTTGTTCTTTTTGCTTGTGCTTGTGCTTGTGCTTGTTTGTGCGTGTGTCGTCGTGGATGGAAGGATGGTGTGCCGTCACTCACAGCTGCTTCTTGGTGGTGGTGCTGCGATTGTAGGTGTTGTCGAGTGAGGAGATTGAAGCTGTGGTTGCCCAAGTTGAGGCTGAGAAGGAATCGGATACCGCCGAGGCAGCAACGGCGTCAGCGTCGTCTTGAATGCGAAGCGTGCGGCCTGTCACGCAACCCGTTTCTTCCTTTGTGTTTGTTACAATCACCATTATACACACTGGAAACACCGTGCAAGAGAAGCATGCAAGAGAAGCGAGCAGGGAAGAGGAGGGGCACAGGCAGGCAGAGTCTCGTGTCACATGTCATGTGTCATGTCACACACATCATGAGCCACATGATTTGAACACGAACAAACAACAATCCAAGCAAGAAGAAAGCAAAGAAGAAGGAACAAGAAGAAGTTGAAACACGACGATGAGTGCGAAGTATGCACTGCCATCAAAGCTGCGTGCCAGTGTGGCGGCTGGCGTCTACGGCATGAAGCCAACCTCGGGGGCTTGCCCAGGCTACCTGCAGGTGTGTGTGTGTGTGTGTGTGTGTGTGTGTGTGTGTGTGGGTTTGTTTCTGTGTCTGTGGCTGTCCGTCTGTGTCTGTCTGTCTGTCTGTCTGTCTATGTGTGTGTGTGTGTATGTGTGTGTGTGTGTGTGTGTGTGTGTGTGTGTGTGTGTGTGTATGTGTCTGTCTGTGTGTGTCTGTCTGTCTGTGTGTGTCTGTGTCTGTGTGTGTCTGTGTCTGTGTGTCTGTGTCTTCATCCCTCTCTGCGTGTGCCCACGCCTCTGTAAGGCTGTGCCCATCCCTCTGTAAGGCTGTTTCTTCCCTACCTCCACTGCCTGCCGTCTCCACCCGTGTGCATTCAGATGTGCTACACCCACGGCTGACGCCACGCTGGCCTTTGCCCCCCCCCCCCAACCCACCGATCTCAGGCGAATGTTGTGATCATGCCGTCCTCGTACGCGCAAGACTTTGAAGAGTTCTGCAAGCGCAACTACCGCGCGTGCCCACTCTTGTACAAGTCAACCCCTGGACAACTCCACGCCGGCCCTCTCGCACAGGTTGGTCTGCGTGTGTGTGTGTGTGTGTGTGTGTGTGTGTGTGTGTGTGTCTGTATGTGTGTGTGTGTATGTGCCTCTGTGTCTGTATGTCTGTGGCTGCCTGCCTCTTTGCCTCTTTGCCTCTCTGCCTCTCCAAGTCTGCCTGTCTGCCGGTCTGTCTGCCTGTCTAACGTCAACCACAACGCCACCACCCACCAGGACTCTGACATCAGGCAGAACATTCCTGCTTACGAGGTGTTCCGCAACGGCAAGCACGAGGGCCGCGTTGGCAACATCAAGGACATCTTCACACAGGACATGGTCACCTTCTATGTCGGTACGCTGTCAACCCTGCCTTCCTCTGCTTGCTTGTCGTGCATGCCGCTCTGAGATGTGCAAAGTCCACTCTGCGTTCTCATCGTTTGTTCATTCAACCCTTTCGCGTGCCCAACCGCAACCTCCACAACAACCACCACGTCGACAACAGGGTGCAGCTTCAGCTTTGAGCAGGCGCTCACCCGGGCTGGCGTGCCCGTCAGGAACATCGAACAGGGCTGCAATGTCTCCATGTACAGGTGTGTGTCTGTGTGTGTGGGTGGGGGTGGGGGTGTGTCTGTCTGTATGTATGCTGTGTGGGTGGGGGTGGGGGTGTGTCTGTCTGTATGTATGCCACCACTACTACTACACTGCTATTATTGCTGCTGCTGCTGCTGCTGCTGCTGCTGCTGCTGCTGCTGCAAATGCCCGCCTCCATTCGCTAACTGCCGAGCACGTACGTCGGCACGTTCGTTCCTTTCTGTTGATGTTGGCAGAACATCGCGTGACTGCGATCAGGTTGGCCCCTTCAAGGGCAAGATGGTCGTCAGCATGCGTCCGGTCAAGAAGGACCACATCTCCACTGCAGTCTCCGCAACAGCACCTTACGTTCTTGGTGTGTGTGTCTGTGTCTGTGTGTTCGTGTGTCTGTGTCTGTGTGTCTGTGTGTCTGTGTGTCTGTGTGACTGAACTTTACACGTTTGCTTGGCGTGTGCTGTTTTACCAGTCGTTCGGGTGCATGTGTGCACCAGTGACCTTCACGGCCTCCTTTCATGTTCTCACGGTCCGTCGCGCCACAATTACATGCTGCAGCTCACGGCGTCCCCTTTCACACTGTTGACCACCGCCTGCTCCTGCCCAAGGTACCCATATTGACTGTTCTGCAGCCCAATTCATTGCGCGAGCACACACACACACACACACACACACACACACACACACACACACACACACAAGCAAGCACGCATGCAAGCTGCAACTCACCAGCTGTACCTCCACTGCGGCCATCATGCGTTGCAACACGGCGCAACTGCAGACAACGCGACTTGAAACGCCAGACTACGGCGACGCCGTCGATGTGCGAGGCGATGAGGTTCCGTGTTTCTGGTGCTGTGGTGTCACCTGTCTCGAAGCCGTCAAGTCAGCCAACCTTCCCATCGTCATCACACACTCCCCAGGCTGCATGTTCGTCACAGACGTTAAGGTGCTCTCAGTGTACTTGTGTGCGTGTGTGTGTGTGTGTGTGTGTGTCTGTGTGTCTGTGTCTGTGTGTGTCTGTGTATGTGTGTTGTCCCTGACACAGCTCTATGTGCTTCACTCTCATTTACCATGACTCTGTTCATGCCTTTAAGCGTTCCTCTAATTCTCACACACGCAAACACTCATCCGCGTGTGACCTCACCCACCCCCCCCCCTTCTCCTCACCCCTCATCATGGCCTCTGCGCTGTGTGATTGCAACCGCTCCAATCAGGAGGAGGATCTATTCTCCATCTCAGACTCTCCAATCCTGATGGGCGCAACCCAGCGCGCCATGCAACACATCAACTCCATCGAATACGCAATCAAGTGAGCAACACAGCAGGGCTCATTTTCCTTGGCGTTGTTTGTTGCTTGGCTGCTTGGCTTGACATGTTTTTGCTGCTAACCGTGCAGCTGCCACATATGAAACGAGCGCATGACACACACGCACACACACATGCGACTACAACATGAGCTCACGTGCTCTTGTCTTGCTGTTGAAGGGAGGACCCTGGTGGCCGAAACGTGAACGCGTTGACACTTCCAAACCAGCTCTGGTCTGCGTGCCATGCCCTCCACAGTGCCACTCATATCGCAATCACGACAGGTCAGTGTGTGTATGTGTATGTGTGTATGTGTGTGTGTGTGTGTGTGTGTGTGTGTATGTGTGTGTGTGTGTGTGCTGTGTTGCATCTGTGCCTGCGCCCGTGTTCATGCTTGCTTGAAACCGCACACGACGGCTTGTCGTGTACTCCTCCTCACCCGTTTCCATCACGTCGCCACCGCCGCCGCTGCTTCTGCTGCTTCTGCTTCTGCTTCTGCTATTATGGCTGCTGTAGGATTCCCGTGTCTGGTGACTCGCTCGATTCCAACGGAGAGCGACGGCCCGCTGGGCGCCCTCTCCCTCGCACGCACACTCGTCCTCCTCGGCAAGCAGGTCAGTGTGCGTGCGTGTGTGCGTGTGTGTGTCTGTGTGTCTGTGTGTCTGTGTGCGAGTGCCGCCATCACTTTGCCCTGTTTGATCCCCGCTCTCTCTGCCTCATCCATGCACACACATCCACCACGCACGCACACACGACACGCACACACTACATACATGTGCAGGTGACGCTGGTGGTTGATCCTGCAAACATGGCTGTGATGACTGCAGCCCTGCAGCGGGCACGCGAGCTGGTGCCAGCCCTTGCTGACAAGTGCTCCCTCGTGGAGTTCAACGCAGACAATGCAGATGCGTCTGACAGCAGCAGTGATGATCAAACCACCCGTGCACGTGAGTTGATGGGTAAGACAGATGGATGGATGGACATGTGGATTGCTGGAGGGTGGAACAGACCATCGCGTCGCTAGCTGATTTGTTCATGCTCACAGCATGCTCTTTTCTTTGACCACATATGTGTGTGTGTGTTGGTTGGGTGCCTCTCTGCGCGCATGTCTCTTTGTGTGTGTGTCTTTGTTTGTTTGTGTCTTTGTTTGTTTGTGTCTGTGTGTCTGTGTGTCTGTGTGTCTGTCTCTTTGTCTGTGTGTATCTGTGCGTGCATGCATGTGCAGGCGCGGTGAGCGAGCAGCTGTTGTCGCGCGGAGTTGACGCGGTCGTGGCGGTGGAGCGAGCCGGCGTGGCGTCGAGTGGGCACTACCACACGATGCGCGCGGCAGTGATGGATCAGCACGTGCAGCCCATCGACCACCTCTTCACCCTCGCCCGTGAGTTGTTGCACATGCTTGCCTGTTCGCATGCTCATGATTATTGCCGGCGAGACAGATGTGTGGTTTGGTGGGATGAGTGCGTGGCTGGGAGGCAGCCCGTTGTTTGCGTTCATGTGTTGGGGGATACAGGTTGACAACACGGCTCACGTGCATTTGCATGCATGCATCGCACGTTTTCCAATGGGCAGAGGAGCGAGGTGTTGCGACCATTGGCGTTGGCGATGGCGGCAACGAACTCGGCATGGGCAAGGTGTGTGAGTGTGTGCGTGCATGTGTGGGTGAGTGTGGGTGTGCCTGCGTTCATGTGGGCGCCCTTGAATGTGCCTCTGCGTGCCTCTACGTGTATGTGCATCTGTGTGTGTGTGTGTGGGTGGGTTTCCCTTCTCCATCTTGCTTGATTTCCTCCTTCCCCACCCAACCCCTCCCTTAACGTGTCGCCTTTGCTGTCTTCCATTCGATGTTGCAATGGACACCCCTTTTGCAGGTGCTTGACCTTGTAAAGGAGCATGTGCCACGCGGTGAGGAGATTGCGTGTGTTGTCGGCTGCGACTATCTCATTTCGGCCGGTGTGAGCAACTGGGGCGCAGATGGCCTGGCTGCAGGCGCCGTCGCCCTCGCCACCTCAAACCCGACAGGTGCTTGCTTTCCCCCTATTGGCGAGCGGCTGTGTGTGCTGTGTTGCACCCTCCTTGCCTGTTCCTGATGCGCAAACAAACATGTTTGAACAACACAAGCATGAAAACGCACGTGCTGACGCACGCACATGTATGAATACTACACATGCATGAATACTCCACACGCATGAATACACACACATGAACACACACACACACACACATGCACAGAGGCGGAACCGCTGCTGCCGGACGTGTCCTTTGAGAAGCAAGTGCTGCAAGCATGCGTGAGTCGAACTGGCTGTTGCCACCATGTACACCTGTGTGCGTGTGCGTGTGTCTCCTTGCTGTCAAACGCGTCCCCACCTCTCACGCAACCACTAATGCACCGCCACTCTGTCACGTGTGTGCAGTTTGCTGCTGGTTGCCGGGACGGTGTCAAGCCCGAGGCAGACATGAGCGTGGATGGCATGGCCTTTGACGCCGAGCACGTTGCCAAGATTGACGAGCTACGCGCCATCCTCCTTGCGCAAAATTGACTTTGTGGTGCTTGTTCAACTTTGCCTTGTTTTTTTTTGCCGCACGGTGTGCTTGCAAGCAAAAGCAAAATCTGAAACCTGGGTGGTGCAATTGTTTGACGGCGATGGTGGCGTTGGTCAGGTTTTGATGCATGCATGCACGCAGACCGTTACGAATAGTCTCTGAAATCATGTCAGATAAGCGGGCGGCGTTCCGTTGCTGCGACACAAGTCGTGCCAGTGCCGACCGCCTTGTTTTGCGTGAGGGGGTGTTTTGTTTTGCAAAGCAAAAGCCGCACCTGTTCGCTTGCTTCATGTCAGCTGCAGCTTCGCTTCAGCACATCACTTTGCCACTCGCTGCCTGCCGCGCGTCGTCTGACTTTGACGCCTGAGCAGGGGTGGGTTGGAAAGGAAGACGACACACGCAGCCATCATCAACAAACTTCTTGCTTCTTGCTTGTCAGCAAACGCTGCTGCTGCTGCATTCAAACAAGCAAGCACCATTCGTTGTGAGCAGGAGGTGTTCATCAGACTGTGGTGATTTCCTCGGGGTGTCCTGCGCGTGCAGCCTTTGGCTTCTTCCTGGTGAGCTTGTTCTCGCTGAGACGATGCGGCTGTGTGTGTCTGTGTGTGTGGCTTTCCGTTGCATCGTGGTGGCTGGTGATGATGATGATGACATGCCAGCGCGTGTGTGGTGTGACATGATCACGGTGTATGTGTGTGATGTGTGTGATGTGTGGGTTTCCGTTGGCCGTGACGGATGGATGAAGAGGAAGAGGAACATTGTGTGTGTGTGTGTGTCTCATCCAACTGCCGGCTGACTGCCCGCCTGATCCCGCTCGCAACCCTCGCATGCACACAAACCCGACTCGCTCACTCTCTCCCTCACTCCCTCACTCTCCCTTTGTCGCTCACACTCGCATTCGTGCATGCATACCTTTGGGTTGCTTTGTTCGCCTGTGCTCTCTTCCTCCCCTGCTTCCTCCCCTGCTTCCTGCCCATTCGCAGCCCCAATCGCATCGTTCTGGAATGCTTGTTGCTGTTGATGTTCTCTGTCGTGCACGCAGAACAAGCAAAAACTTACCTGCCACAACAACCCTTCCCCTGCACCTCACCACCAAAGGCTCGACTGCACCGACATTCACACCACCACAAGATCTCTTCTTCTTCTTCTTCCTCTTCTTCTTCTTCTTCTTCTTGGCCACGGCGAGCACAACTCCGCGGCAAGAACAAGACCCACGAGCTCTGCAGCAGCAGGTGCCTGGGCTTGCCTTCCCCTCCTGAGTGACCTGTGCCCGTTTGGTGCGCAGAGGCATGACGAGGGTTGAGCCCTCGGCTGCGCCCGTGCCCCGAGCCCATGCTGTCCTGTCTGCGCTCCCGCTGCCTGCTGGCTGGGAGGCAAGGGTGTGCACTTCCCCACGCCAGCGCCTCAAGCATGGCCAACGCAGAGTCGTCTTCCTCAAGTCAGTTCACATACCCTTGTGGGTGTGTGTGTGTGTGTGTGTGTGTGTACGTAAGCGTGTGTGTGTTGTGTGTTGTGTGTGAGTGTAGTAGTATGGGTACGGGAATGGATGAGACTTGTGAAAAGGGTGATGGTTGTTGTTGAGGGAGGAAGCGCGCCAGCAGTGACACGCCGTGTGCATCATGCATTCGCATGCACACACAAGCTGAACCTTAACACAAGCTCACGCTTGTTCCCTCGATGCTTGCATGCACGAACTTCAACTTCTCGTCCCTCCCTCACACACACACACACACACACACACACACACACACACACACACACACACACACACACACACACACACACACACACACACACACGCACGCACGCGCACGCACACACACACACACACGCACGCGCACGCGCCTACAGCCATGAGAGGCAAATGACGACATGGCACGACCCACGGCTGCGGCTGCTGCTTCCACCATCGTTGCACGAGCTTCCACATGGTTGGACCCTGGATCTTGACGCAGAGGGTGAGCCCTATTTTCTCGACGACACGACGTGCTCCACATGTCGCCGGCCCCCTTTCCTCTCCGCGCAACAGCATCAGGACCTCAACGCCTTCTACCAACGCTTCGTGCTCGACCCCGCCATCTCAACCACAGAAAAGACATGCACCCCGCAACAACAACAACAACAACAACAGCCACAAGTGTCATCAGAAGATGCCAGCAAAGCATGGCCTGTTGGCACGAAAAAATGCCCGCCATACACAACACCAAGCCATCGGTGGCAACGCGTCACATCAACCCCAGTAGCTTCGACCATCAGACTAGAACAGGACACTCGCAATACAACAACAACAACAACAACAACAACAACAACTGCAGGACCTTCTTCGTCGTCATCAGACGAAGCGGTTGCCTCCACCCGCAGGCTAACTCTGCACTGTGTGCCGCGCGCCTTCTTCCCGGATTTGGAGGCAGACGCAGAGTACTTTGATGGCACGCCCCACCATCACCACCACCACAACAACAACAATGATGACGACGTTGGTGATGCTAGCGCGACAACGGCAGCAGGGCACACCGCACCTCGGAGACAGAGCGTGCCGCATGGCATTGCATGGCACGCTGATAGCCGGTGCACGGCGGGCCGTGGCCACCACCATGGTCTTGACACGGAAGTTGACAACCTGCTCTTGCAGGATGCACGCCATGACGAGATTTTCATTTCCGAGCACGGTGGTGCTGGCAGCGTGCTGCAGCTGCACGACCACATGCGGGAAACATGGCCCCTCCCCTGCGGCTGGTCGCAGCACACGTGCTCGCAGAGCGGCCAGCCTTACTTTGTGCATGCAAGCACGCGGCGCGTGACGTGGACACACCCATCGCTGGCGCGAGAGCTGGCCGGCGTGAAGCTTGAAACCCTGCCCCTCGACTGGGACGTTGACGTGGATGAGGACGGCCTGTTCTTCGTCAACCACTGCGTCGCCATGGCCACGCGCGAGCCGCCAGCACCCCTCATCGCAACCGGCAGTGAGCAAGATGGCAGTGACACCCTGGGCCCTGCAGATGACTGCCTCATTGTGCCTGCCTCGCCACGTGCACAGGATTCGCTGTCATCCACCACGGCAATGCTGCACAGCAACAGCGTAGCGACGATTGTCCCACCCAACACGGCAGACGTGGCCGGCGGCGAGGACGAGCACGAGCGCATCACCCTCTTGCACAGCCCTACTACTACTACTACTACTACTACTACTGCTCCTCAGCACGACACAAACCACGCTGCGGTGCAGCCAGTGCGGGAGGGCAACCACGAGGCAGCTCGCTCGGCCGTGCTGCCGACACGGCACGCGTCCCTGATGGCAGCGCACGACCGCGCACCCAGCGAGTCCAGCGTGGACTCTGGCGTGGACAGCGGCAGCAACACCCTGTGTAGGCACACCTCTGTGTCGCAATCGTCACTCGTAGCTGAAGAGCAGCACCGCCTCCAGCAACCCGCGACTGCTGAGGGTAACAACTGCAATGACAGCCGTGCCTGCAGGCATTCTCGTGGCGATGAGGACGCTGGGTCCGAGACATCGTCCATCTTCTCCGTGTCCAGCTGGGCTTCATACATTGCAGGCATCTGGCGCGGAAGCAACGACAACACGAGGTGTTGTGACATTGACCCCGAGCAGCGGGCTGCTGCGAGGAAGCAGGACCGCAAGCTCGATCCAACACCACCTGGGATGCGAGAGCCGGACCTAGCTGAGCCAGACCTAGCTGAGCCAGACCCAAGTGGGCGGGACTGTCTCAACCCAAGATCACCTCAAGGTCAACAGCAACAGGACCATCATCTTGTTCTGGTGAATGATTTCGGTCCTTCACATGTCACTGTCACAGATGTCTAAGGCTTGCTTTTTATTTGTGTGTGAAGTGTGTTGGTGCTTGGTTGAGGATGAGCACGGTGTGTACATATTGAGTATTTGCCGTTGGTTGGATGGAGGGTCGTGGAGTGAGAGGGGCTGGGTTGAGAGAAAGAGAGGTGCGAAGTGCGGTGTTTGTTTGCTTGCTTCGTTGGCTCGCAGCGGTTCATAAACAACGATAATGACTTTTTGCATGATTTGATGGGCATTTATGACTTCTCGCCACGTCAGCCAACCAAACAACCAACCAAAGCGGAACGCGATGATGAGGAGGACAATGCTTGTTGTTGTGGGTGTAGTGGCTGTGGCTCTCGCCATCGCTGCCACAGCCAACGCCAGCGTCCCAAAAGGTGTGTCTGTGAGTGTGGGCGCGTCTGTGTGAGTGAAGGTTGCAAAGAGAGGCGAGGCGAAGCAAGTACACGCACACACACGCACACACACGCACACACACACACACACACATACACACACACACACACACACACACACACTCACACACATACACACACACACACACACACACACACACACACTTGCCTTCTCTCCTGCTTTCGCACTCCGGCTCAATACAACCCTTCCCCTTTCCCCTCCCCTTCTTTCCCAAACAGGGTACGAGGTTGTGACGTGTGGCACGGCGCTGAAGCTGGAGCATGTGGCCACATCGTATCGGCTGCATTCGCAGGAGGTCGCTTACGGCACCGGCAGCGGGCAGCAGTCCGTGACCATCAAGAGCGAGGGCCAGGATATGAACGACTTGTGGCAGATCGCGGGCGCCTCAGGGAAGGAGTGCAGGCGTGGCCAGAAGATCAAGTGCGGCTCCACCATCCGCCTCTTCCACGTTGGCTCCCAGAAATGGCTGCACAGCCACAACTTCCAGTCGCCGCTCAGCCACAACCAGGAGGTGAGCGCATTTGGCGACCACTCCCAGTCCGACACGGGCGACAACTGGAAGGTCGAGTGCAGCGGCACATACTGGAAGCGTGACGATACCGTGCGCTTCCGCCACGCAGACACCAAGATGTACCTCCACTCCACGGGCAGGCACCA